GCCTCCGCTGCCTCGGAATAACAATATTCCCTTTTTCTTCCCAGCAGTTTTGTGGATTCCTGCAGCAGTCCTGGCACACGCTACAATGATTTTTGTCCCTTTTGTTCTTTGTATGACTAAGCAGTGACGCAGCTGTGCCTAACACAAGGCCATAACTCAGTGCTTGCTGTGGTTTAATATTCTTATTTTCCAGGCGATTTTACTGTCCCCCCCAGTGTTTCTGATATATGCTGGCTAATTTAATTTTGCTCCTATTTTTATTTACTCTGTAATTCTGTTGTTGATTTTTTTCCCTTGCCCATTGTTTACATCAGTTTTTTAATTTTTTTGTATTTTCCATGTGACCTCCTCCACTTTCCTTTCAACCAAACTCATGTGCGTGCGTATCATGTGAATTTGTCATGTGGCTTGCATGGTGCTGATGATGTCGTCCTCGCTGGTGAACAGAAGGTAAAATAACTTTGTTCTGATTGGTTGCCTAGATTTTTGGGGTGAGGATTCCCCTCTGGGATCTCCAAATTCCAAAAAAAAAAGAAAAAAAAAAAGAAGGAAAGAAAAATGAAAAAAAAATCCTTTCCCACCGAGCCTTTTTGGAAGAGTTGCTCGTCACTGTCTGCATGGGAAGAACTCGACTTCAGTCCTCTGCGCTGAGCTGGGGAAAAACCAAACAAACAAAAAAAATCACCTGGCTCAGTCATTTGCTTCTTCATTCTCAGAGTCCAGCAAGGAACTCTCCTAGGAAGGTGCTAAAAATCCTCTGGAATTAACACCAGAGGCCAAAAATCCTTTTGCCTCTCAGGGTACCAAGCACAGACTCGAATTGGATGGGAGATTAGGGCTCGGATTCTGGGAGCAGCCTCTCTAGCAGCATTTGGACCCTATAAAACACACATTTATATAGAGATATGTGCACACAGCCACACTGCACGTGTCTAGTTGCCTTCCAGAATAATCCTGAGTTCTTTGAAATCTGATTATTTGGAGTATGGCACAATTTGATTTAAGAAATAAATATTGCAAGTAAAACTTCAGCGTAGCTTGAATGAGGGCTGTGTTATGAAATACCCTCTCTATAAAATGCTACTATAAAATCCTCTCTCTGTGTGAAATTCTAGATACAAATCCTGTGAAACAGCACACCCAGGGTTCCTGGGGGGAGCCAGACCTCACACAGTTCTCACCAGAGGTGCTGCTGCTCTTCTCCTGCCAGAGCCCGTCGTTCCTCCCACGGAGGCTGTGGGAGCCTGGCAAGGCTTGAACCTGAGCTCAGCTCACAGGAGCTGCTGATCCCCAGCAAATCAAGAAGCAAATGATTGACCCTGGCACTTTGTGGAGATGGAATCAGCCTCCAGCAAAGTGTGGGGTGGTGAGGAACAATTCCTGCAGCGCTGTGATTTTTACGACTTCGCTCTGTGCACAGTCTCAGCGGGGGGAGGGAGGGAAGCTCCTGCTTTTCTGCTGCCCCAGCCAAAGGAGGAACTGTAAGAACCAGGGAGGAATTGGCTTTTTACAATCCAGGAGTTCTGGAATCACCTTTTTGTCTGGGATCACCCCCAGGAAAGGATTCAGGCTGGGGTTTGCCAGGAAAACAAAACTAACACCAGTAACCTTCCCACATGAGTGCATGCACAGAAGAGCCCCTGGCCCGGTCTCTTCCCTCTCTGCTGGAATTCCAGGAGGATGGGAGGCGTGCCTGTCTCGTTTCTGCACGTTCTGTTTGTGTTCCTTATTTCTGCTGCTGGTGTTTGCTCCCCTCGTGTGCACCCCGACCCCCAGCCCGTTCTTGCTCTGGTTTTCCCCTCGTGGAGGCTCTCCCTGGTGTCTGTTCCCAGTTCATGTGGTGCTCAAAGATGGCAGAAATCAGCCTTTTCCTCGCTCCTCTGCTGCAGAGTTTTCCTGTTTTCCTCTCTGAGCACAGGGAGCAGGAACTTTCCTTGCTGCCAGCTGGGCAAGGATTTAAGCTCAGTTTAAAGTGCTGATTTTTAATTTTCTCTTTTCTCCCCACCTCAAGCTGCTTCCACTCCTGGTGCTTGTGGCACCCTCTGAAAAACACAATAAAAACAAGAATTTCTGAAATCCCACAGACCAGTGGTAGGACAAGGAAGCACTGAATAGAAACCAAAGGGTTGAGAGGATACCAGGAAACATTTCCTGCTTCCCTGCAGCAGCAGATGATTGGCATGCTGATGGCTTAGCAGGGAGTGGGTGCAAAATAAACTGGAAATAAAATGGCTCAGAGCAGTGGCCTCGGCTCCCCTGCCACCAGCAGGTTTGGGGAGCCTGGAGAAAAATCCTTTTTTCCTTGGTCAGGGTCTCCCTGGGTTCATTTGGAGCCCAGGGGAGGGCTGGGCTGTCCTGGCTTCCCAGCACAGCGAAGGCTGCTGCTGTCCTGCGAGCTCAGCCTGGCTGTGGGAGGGAGGGCACAGCTCCTCTGACAGCTAAAGCTCCTGTTTGGGGCCTTTTCTCCTTTGCTGAGTGTCCTGGGGGAGAATTTTGGGCATGGCTGAGCCTCAGTCCCTCGGCGTCACCACCGGGAGCACAAGGTCCTGCGTCCCTTCTGCACAGAGAGGATTTAAATCCGATATTTGATGCTCAAACAGAGGAAATCTGGGCTCTGTGGAGCTGCTGGCTCTCACCCAGCCAAGCAGCAGCAGCATGTGGGGTCCTCAAAGGGTTCCCCTGGTTTAAAGGTTGGGAAGGGCTCAGGAGGGTGGGACAGGCTGATCTCTGCCCTGGCATGGAGCACCCCTGCCGTGCTGTTCTGCATGTCTGAGCATGAACCCCTTCTCCTGCTGACCACCTTCTCTCTCCAGCTACTCACATCTTCACTCATTGTAGGGTTGCTGATTCTGCTGGACTAAACTTTTCCCACTAAACTTCTTCCTTCTCTGTTTGACACACTAACCCAGTTTTCATTTTACAGCCCTGTGTTTGGATTGCATCCACCTGCTTGAGATAAATGAAATAAACACACATTTCTGGAGAGAAAACTGTGCTTTACCAGGGCTTGCACTGCTCCACCTGTTGGTTTTCAGCACTTAGGAGCATTCTCTTCTTTAAAGGGAAATGTTTCTCAAAGCAGAAATGAGTTTAAACTATTGGGGGGGAGGAAGGAATGAATCAGGAGCTAGAAATTAGATAATTCAAAGTGAAGAAAAGGAAGAAAAGTTTCAGCTGAGCGGGTAATTAATCATGGGAACGGCTGTGTGCAAAGTACAGCAGCATCTCTGACATTTAAAATGGAGAATAAGCATCTTTTCAAAGGATGTTCTTATTAGTCTTGGTGCTCAGTCACTGGGAACAAGATTCCAGGCTGTGTTAGATAAAAGGTCAGATTGTGTAGGTGCAGTGTTCCCTCGGCACTCGAGGATCTCTGTCCTCATTGCTGATGGTCTCTGAGGCTGGGCAGGGAGCAGGGAGACGCTGCTCTTGATGTGTCCCTGTGCCCAGGGAGGGCAGGGACGGGGCTCTGCTGCTCTGGGGAGGCTCAGGGGGCTCAGGGCTGCCCCTGGGAGCTGTTTTGGGCCACAGGGACAGAGCCAGGCACTTGCTGCTGCTGCTGGGAATTCCTGGTGACTGTCCAGGACACTTCCTGCAGAATGGCTCCTGCCAGACAGCTCCACAGTCAAAAGCAGGGGATTTGTGTGGTGTTTGTCTTTTGGGATTGAGGAAAATAACATCATTGCTTATTTAACTGATGTGTTCAGTATGCCCAGGTGAGGATGAAGTTTTCCTGTTTATTTGTGCCTTAAACCACACTTGTGTCACCTTTTTGTGTTCAGTGTAGACTGAGAAAGCTGTCCCGGGGTGGAATCCACAGCTGGAACGTCCAGGGGGTGTGGGAGCCTTGCAATAAGGGGATAAAGGCAGAGGAGAGGATTTGGAAAAGCAAAATGTAACCTGGAAAAAAGGAGTGTTGCCTCTTCACATCCGTCAGAGGAGTTGCTGTGTTGTTAAACACAAATGTGTGTGTCCCACACCCCTGGAGTGAGATTGATTCCCTTCTTGGAACAGTGCAGCAAAGTGGGATTCATCTTAAATCCCAGTTTCAGCCCAGGCTTTCCCATTGGTATTTCACCAAAAAATTGTGCTCCTGTTCCTTTGAAAGGGAGGAGGGAGGGAAAGGACTTCAGATTCCTCTGCAGATGAACTTTGGAAGGATGTTGGAAGGTGAAGCTTCCTGTGGCCACTCAGGAGTGCCTGTGCTGCCCATGAGGAGCTGGACACAGATCCAGGGCTGTGGATCTGGGATCAGACCTCCTGCATTTGGCTTTTTCAGCAGAGGTTCAGGGTGGGATTGGGTTCCTCCGAGGGACTGGGTAGGAGGAGCAGTGTGGGAGCTGGGCTTGTGAATCAGTGTGCCCTGCAGGAGCAAGGGACATTTCCATTTCCTGCTGGTGGCAGGGTGCACTTTGGGAAATGATAGCCTTTTTCTCCGAAAAATGGTTATTCCAGAAGAATGAAGGGGTTTCTCTGAATCTCTCTCCAGTGTCCACTGGAGCTCCACCGCTGCAGGCTGAATGAGGGGATGTGCTCTGGGGTTCTGTTCAGGTGTTCTCTCATTTAAGTGGTCCAGCAGCTCAAAAAGCTCTAAACAAATTCAGAGTGCAGCCCTGGGTCTGTTTGAGAGGCACAAGGTCCTTTTCAGTGGTGCTCTTCACATCCCATCCCACAGGAGCAGCTTGCCAGGTGTTTGACAGCAGTTCCTACAACAAAAGCAGCGAGGAATTCCTCACTGCTTTGGGATTTTCTTGGGGAGGGGGGATGTTTGTCACTCTGGCTCCATTCCAGCACATGCAGAAGTGGAAATTTGGTGTTTCAAATGCAAGGAATACTTGGGTGTGGCAAATATTTCCCTCAGACACACGGTGCCCTCTGTGTCTGGGTCAGCTCATACCCTGAGCTGAGGATAATAAAGCGTTCTTGTGATTGTTATGAGCACTTTTTCCTTGCTAATGCCTGGTTGTTTTTTTCACAAATAACCCTGAATGTTGTTGCAGGGGAACCCAGTGCCCCCAAGCTGGAAGGTCACATAGGAGAAGATGGCAACTCCATCAAAGTGAACGTCATCAAGCAGGACGATGGTGGCTCCCCGATCAGGCACTACCTGATCAAGTACAAAGCTGTAAGTGTGGCACAGCCCGGGCTGCCCTGGGCTCGGGGAGGGGCTGCAGTGAGCAGAGAAACCTCTGTCACTCCCCTGCTTTAAATGTGAGTGCTGAGATGTCAGGGAGCACTTTGGCACAACTTGCAGCTTTTGCCCTGTGAAAATAGTTTAGTGGTGGGGAGAAATGAGAGGAGGAGGTGAGGGGATTTCTTGTCAGAAAGAACAGGGTTCTGAGCAGGAGAGAGGCTGCTTTGGCATCTCACCCTCTGTGCCCAAGAGCATGTGATGGTGTCAGTGAATCCCAGAACAGCTGGGGTTGGAGGGAGCTCCACAGGGACGTGCCCAGGTGGGTTTGGGATGTCTCCAGAGAGGGAAACCTTCCGTGGGTGCCTGTTCCAGAGCTCTGCCACCCTCCATGGGAAGAAATTCTTCATATTGGGGTGGAACTTGTTGTGTTTTAGTTGGTGGCCACTGCTCCTCATGCTGTGACATGGAACAGAGCCTGGCCCCGTGCTGTGACACCCTTTGGGGGTGTCTGTGTGGGGTGACAGCGCTGCTGAGCCCCTGGGGTGCCCCTGGCCCTGGCTGATGCCTCATGAGGCTCCCTGGAGCAGAGTTAAAGGAATAAAGCTGGGATTTATTAAAAGCCCTTCACAGGATCACCTTGGGCAGTGCAAGCACCCAAGATGGGCCCCGGCTCAGGAGTTTCACCCTTGGATCAGTTCTGGTCCATTTCCATCTCGGGGTGAATTGTGCAATTGCAGCTGCAGGTGATGCAGTCCCATCCTCCCAGATTGCTCTCCTCAATTCCCTGCTGCTTGTGCTTTTTGGGCCTGGAGCTGCAGCGCTGCCCTTGGCTGTGGGGCTGGGGAAGGATCGTTGTGTGTGCCCGAGCTGTGAGGAGAACTCGCTGACACTTTGTGTGGAGTTCAGAGTCAGGCACCAGTGCAGAGCCAGGGAAACACAAAAGCTGAACCTTGAGGCGTGCTGTGCTCTGTCCCTCCCTGCAGAAGCACTCCTCGGAGTGGAAGCCCGAGATCCGGCTGCCGTCGGGCAGCGACCACGTGATGCTGAAATCGCTGGACTGGAACGCTGACTACGAGGTGTACGTGATAGCTGAGAACCAGCAGGGCAAATCCAAGCCTGCCCACTACGCCTTCCGCACCTCTGCACAGCCCACCGTCATCCCAGGTACCGCTGCTCTGCCTCCTCCTGCCCATTAATGCCACACAGCCGCCCTAATGTGCCCCAGTAACCCTGACAGCTCGCTTGCTTGAAGCCCATCCTCTCATGGTTGGTTCCCCACCCGGAGCTGAGGGTCGTGGCTGTGTGCATACCTGTGGCAGGTATGTGGGAGTGCTCCCTGGCAAATCCCTGCCTGGCTCTTCCCAGGGGGTGTTGGCTCCTCGTGTTGGGTAGGAAAAGCTTTCCCAGAGCAGAAAGTGGAATTCCCATTTTACGCCCTTCAGCTCTGCTTTTCACAAGGCAGATTTCCCAAATCTCCCTCCCTGCTTCTTTGTCCATCCTTGGAGGAATGGAAGCATCAGGAGTTTGCTGGCAGTTGGATGGGAAGGCAGTGAAAATCTCTCTCTGAGCATTTTTCATTTCAAATTACCAAATGACAGTCATCACAATCCAGTGTTGAGGAGGGCATTAGGAAAAAACAACTCAAAGGCTTCAGGATGCTGCTGGAAGCAATTAAAACAGACTGTACTTATTAGTGTGCTCATAAAGTGAGGGGGAAGAACAATTCCTGCAAAAACCAAGCAGAACTCTCAGCTGGGAAACTGAAATTGAGCAGTTTGTGGCAATCTGTTGGAAGGACAGTTAGGATTTCTTTTCTAGATGTGGACATTTAAAAAAAAAGAGGGGGGAAATCCACACAAAGCAACCGAAATGTGAGGATGGGATTGCTGGAGTAGCTGTACATGGAAGTTATGGTGGTTAAAGACAGGGATGCTGAGCCTGGGTTGGTGCTGCCAGCCCATCCTGAAGGGATTTCATTCTGATTTCATTCTGTTCATGTTTTCTCTTAAAACCAGCGAGTTTCCTTCAGTCTTTCCCCGAGAATTGAGTCCCTGCTCCCCTGTGCCCATTCCTTGGCTGAAGGGAACAGCTCAGCCCCTGTGGGAATGCTGCAGTCCCCCTTGGCTGAGGCAGATCATGTTGTGGAGCACAGAAATGGGTGAAAAAGTGGGAAAAGTGGGACTGGCAGTGAGGAGGAGGGAGATGGGGCAAAGGAGAGGCTGGGGGTGCTTGACCAGGGCGTAGGTTTGGGTGGAAGGACCCTCAGTAACTCATTAAACACCTCACTCTGTGCTTCTCATTTTCAACAGCTCTAATCCTTGCTCCCCCTCTGAGCCCTTTAAATCCATGTAACACGTGCAGGACCCTCAAAAATCCAGGGAAAACCCAGTTTGTTGCCAGAGGTGAAACTTGTCTGGCCCCCCTGAGGTTATTCCTCGCTTAGCTTGGTGTGAAGCACAGGAGGGGCCGGGATCTGAGGCTGCCCCTCCAATGCTGCACAAAACAAAAGCAGTTTTGGGCTGGAATTCAGGGCCTGGAATTCAGCAGCTCCTCAGAAAGGGCTGTGTCCTTGTGCAGTGATGTGGTTGTTGCTGGGTTTGTGACTCGTTCTCCTGGGTTTTTTATCAGTTTTGGCCTTCCAAGGTGTTCCCTGGTGCCCCAGACTGAAAACACTGGGCAAAATATTTCCAGTATTTCCAGGGACAGGTTGGTTTTTCCTCTGCTGTGCAGCCCCACAGGTTTTATTGGCAAACTGGAGCAGGGAGGAGGCTCTGTGTGTTCCTTTCCTCGTTGTTTCCGTGGCATTTCTGTGTTTTTCTCTCAGATGAGCTGTGCAGGAGTCAGAGGCAGTGCTGTAACAGCCATTGCTGTGCCTGACAGCAGTAACCAGGGATTTCCTGCAGGAAAATGTGCTTTTATTGTGTGGAGGAGTCCTTTGTTCCCCTCACCTGTGCAGAGGCCTGAGTGGCTGGAAGGATAAGGGTGTTATTTTCAGTAATAATAACAATAATGATAATGATAATAATAATAATAATAATAATAATAATGCTGGCATTGGAGTGGTTCCCGAGCAGCTGGGAGGCTGAATGGCAAAGTCAGAGGATTCCTGAGACCTTGGTGCTCCTTCAGGATAATGTGGATTTTTTATCCAGGCTTTGGGGAAGGGTTTGGACAGGCAGGTGGATTCTCTGCTGCACCAAAGCTTTTCTTGTTTTCCTTTTTTCCCTGTTAAAGGCTGTGCTCTCAGGCTCCAGACACATCTCCCTGTCTCTCGCTGAGCCCCTTCTGTCCCATCATTTTTAATCTCATTTGCTTGCAAACCCCACCCACCCTGCCTTGGACCCTGCTCTGCAGCTTTGGGCTTTGCTGAGCTTCTGCCCCTTTTGTGGTGAATGTGCTGCTCCTTGAACCCTGAGCCATTTTAATTTACGAGATTAAATAAACCTTTGATTCTTATGTTTTCTGTATTTATGACCTAATTTTTTTTATCTATTTTTCTCTCTCTTTCTCTCTCTCTCTCTCTCTTTTTTTCTTTCTTTTTTTCTTCCTCGCTTCCTTTCTTTCCCTCCCCTCTCCCTTTTTTTCCCCCCCAATTCCTTTCCTATGTCTGTCATCCATGGTCACCTTGGATCTCACGGGGAACATCCACGCTTGCCACATGCACCAAATTTGTTTTTAAAACAACCATATTCCCCCCTCCTGGGAACCATTGTCTGGCGCCTGCAGCGACCTTGGGAAGTCCATCAACGTCGTCCTCCTTTGTCTCATTGCTTCTTTCTGCAGTGACTCTGCTTTTGCTCTGTTAGAAACTTTCAAAAAAAAAATGAGTCAAATAAAGCAATATTTGCTTGGGAAGGCCTGGGTCCCACCAAGGTGTGGAAGGAGATAACTTTGCTTCAGAGGATCGTGTCAGTTCAGAGAACAAAACAAAAAAAAAAAAAGAAACAAATGCAGAACACTTAAAAAAAAGATGTTTAATTTGAAAGAGTCAGTATTTTGTAACAAGGAAAAAAGGTTTAAGCCAAGTTTTTTCTCTTTAACATTTTTTTTTTGTTACTTGTAATGATTTTGCCCTTTTAAATGGCTGTAAAGAAAGATTTTTTTTGGTGTTGTTTGCTTGCTGTTTTCATCAAAGGAAGGTGCAATGCTGAAAGCCTTTAAGATCCTGCTTTTTACTGATTTCTTTGCACATCTGGTGCTGATCTTGTGCAAAAGGAGGCCCCATCCACAAACCCAAACCCACAGACTGTAAAAAGAAAGAGAAGATTTGTCAGAGACCATCCTGCTGATTGCCCAGATGTCTCTGGGGGCTTTTGCATGTGGATTCAAATGTCTGGAAGGTTTTCCTGCTGTGCTGGTCTGACTAGAAACATCTGCTGGGATCACACTGGGGGCACTGCTGCTTTTTCTTCTCCTCCTGGGCAGACTCCTTGTCCCTCCCTCGTGTGCAGATTCCTCCTGGAACACAAATTCCCAATGCTTCTCTAACGCTGCCTGGATTTCCACTGCTGTGTTATCACAGAGAAATCCCTTTCCTCGCTGTTCTAACAGAAAAATCTTAGCTTGGATGGAGTTACCTGAGCAGCAGAATTATTGTTACTGATCCTTAATAATATTCCTGGTTAACTGTGCGTGTGACAGGATTAATCCATGGTCTAAACTGGTGCACTAGAGCCAGCTTTGTTATCAAATCCTGGCAATTTCCCTCAACAAAATTCAGATGATTTTTGCTTTGCTTCTTTAAAAAAAAAAAAATAAATAAAAAGAACAGAACTCCCCATCCTCTCCCCAAAATAAAAAAACCACAAAAAAAATCACAAAAAGTCCGACACAACAACCCCAATGAAGTGTTTGGAATAGGAAATCCATTGGGATAGGAAATCCATTGGGATAGGAAATCCATCCCCTCTGATGCTGTCCTAAAATCAGGGAGCTCTCCCTTGAATTGTGTGTCCAGAATGTCTCAGACCCTCCCAGCTGGGTGGGATTCATCTTCCTGATGGAATTCTCACAGGGACAAACGAAATCCTGTCCCCACTCGTGTCTGACTCTGCCTTTCCTGTTCTGCTGTGTTTGTTCAGGCCTCGCTCTTTATCAGTTCTGAACTTTTCTCTCTGGGTTGTAAATGAGAATTTGGTGCAGGTGTCACACACAAAAAGCCTGTGGATTTTTTATTTTTTTTTTTCAACAAAACCCCCTCATTTCCAGCGTTGTAGAGTGCAGACACTTTGTGAGAGCTTTGGAGTTTGCTGAAGTGCAGCAAAATAATGCTGATGCTAGGAAGTGGTGTGAGAAGTGGTGTGATTTCCCCTCTAACTGGATTAACTGAGCTCGCTGTAGATCTGGAATCAGCTTTTTGTGGCTTTCCCCACAGAGGGAGGTCACTGCCTGAGGCTGAGATGTTTCTCACCAAAATCAGAGTTATTAAAATTCTCTAACTTGGTGTAGTGTGGTGTGGAGAGAGAGCAGCCCCTGTGGAGGGGGTTCTGTCCCAGGAGAGGATTCTCTGAGGCAGAGCAAGCAGCTGAGACATCCTGAATGGGGCTGAAATGAATCCCAAACCCAACAGCAATCAGGAGCCCATCCAGCTTGGGACACAGACAGAAAGTGCTTCTTCCTGTTTGCAGAAATCAGGAGCATAACTGGGGTTTTTAGCACTATTTTGTGCAGGTTTGTAACACACCAGGTACCACAGATCTGTCAGACCCTCCAGGCTGGATCTAGGTCCAAGGTCCTAGGCCGTGATGTGAGTAAAATAAAATTGAAATAGAGTTTTTAGAAAAGGCAGAGATTCGGATCTGGAAGCAGGAGATGCTCAAACACTGGGACTTTCATGCCAGCTCCCATGTGTGTGTGAGGGGCTGCAGAGCCTTGCAGGGTTCCCACCGTTTTTAAAGCCCCTCCACATTCTCAGAGTTGTTTGTCAGGGCTTTGTTTGGCTGTTCTCATGGGCAGGAAGGTTTGGGAACGCCCTGTTCCACCTGCAAGTGTCTGCACCTCCAGGGCGCTGGGGAATAAAATGAAGGTTTTTATCTAAAAGGTTTTAATTTAAAACAACTTATCCCAACTCTTGGAGCTGCTGGAGTGGGGTCAGGTTTGTTCCAGGAAAGAGGATTTTGGTGTCATTCTGTGTTCAGCCTGGAGGAGAAGCTTTGGGGTGACCTAAACCTTCCAGGGCCTGAAGGAGCTGACAGGAAAAGGGGAGAGGGATTATTTCCAAGGGATGGAGGGACAGGAAAGGGGGAATGGCTTCAAACTGACAGAGTGCAGGGTTGGGTGGGATCTTGGGAAGGAATTCTTCCATGTGAAGGTGAGGAGGGGCTGGCATGGAATTCCCAGAGGAGCTGGGATCCCTGGCAGTGCCCAAGGCCAGGCTGGACGGGGCTGGGACAGTGGGAGGTGTCCCTGGACATGGCAGGGGTGGGATTTAAGGTCCCTTCCAGCCCATTCTGGGGTGTTTCGATCCCCTGACATCCCCAGGACAGTCCCAGGGAAACAGCAGAGCCTGGAGGAGCAGAGCACTGAGGTTCCAGCAGGAATTCAGCGAGCTGTGGGATATTCCCCCTGCCCCAGGCTTTGTGTGCTCCCTCACAGATGCTGAAATGTGCATTTGTGGATTTCTGCCGCTGGCAGAGAAGGGTCCCTGTCCCCAGGGTGAGCTGGGGGTGTCTGAGGGAGCAGCTCTGTAAAACCTCATGCAGAGGGAACTTCTCAGCGTGCACCGAGAGCAGAGAGCTTCTCTCCTGGCTTCTGCTGCTGGATGCACAGAATGGATTTTTATTTGTTTTGTCCGTTCTTCTTTCTTTTGCCAAACCCTGTAGGACCTTTGAAATGCCTGGAGTCCCTCCTGCTCCTCTCCATCCTTTTTGTCTCTTTGCCTGTGCCTGGACATTGTGTAGCTGAGACCCCTCTGGGAAGACACAGCTGAGCTCTCTCTGCCAGGGCAGTTTTTGTACAGAAACTAAAACTGCTGGCTGATTTTCCTGTGCACTGTAAAAAGAGGGGGATTAGAAAAGCCAGTCTTGCAGGAAGCTCGTTTTCCGTTGGAAAAACGTAATTTGTAATTAATAAATTCTTCACTTCTTTAGAATTAAGGACTCCAGAAGTTCTTTAATGGTTTGTGTTTCCTTATTTAACCGGGGGGAAATGTTGTTCCTCTTAGTCCTGAGAATGGCAAAAGGGTTGGACGTGGATCAGGTCAGAAATGTCCAACATCAGTTTATTACATTTATTTCATACACACAGTGGGAACAGCTGCTCCACAGCCCATTTATTTATACATTTCTTTTGTACACAGGGTTGGTTTAGGCCCCAGAAAACCCTTCAGGGATGTCTAAGTATTAGTTTCATTAGATACAACATAAATCCAGCTACAGGATGGAGGGGAATGGTTCTTGAAAGTATTTGTAGATCAATTTAATTTAATCAGATGGGACAGTCTGTGAAAAGAATAATCTCCACTGTGGTTCCTGCATTTTATAGGAACAGCAAAATCCCTTTACAAGGAAAAAGAAAGGCAGCACCAAGAGCCTCCCAAGTTCATGGGGTCGTGGAGGATTTTTATATTACGTTTCCTTACTGCCAGTCCCTGGAAGGTTTGGAATATCAGTTCACACCATGAATTGGGATTTATGAAACCACAGCTAATGGAAAAGGTTCGAAAGTTCCTGCAAATTGCAGGGCTCTCTTACCAGCCTAGAAACCCAAATTGCAGGCAATTACCTCGGCCCAGTTTCGTTGTCTGAGGTGTAAAATCCCAGAATAGCACAAGAACAGGGACATCCCTCTGCAGGCTTGCCCTGGTTCTCCCCACCTCCATCATCCTCCTGCCAGGGCAGAGGAGCAGGGCAGGGCAGGGGAGCTCGGTGGGGAGCAGAGGGGTCTGTGCCTGTCAGAGCAGGAATCTGGGGGGGTGACAGCTCCTGGAAAAGCTTCAGAGGGGAGAGGAGGCAAAGAGCAGCACCCTGCTGTGAGTGGAATTTCCAAAAAGGGGAAAATTCCAGCTCTGGAGGCACCCAGGGATGTCTGATCCCGGGATCCTGCATGGGAGGGGTGACAGCTGCAGGAGCACAAACACATCAGAAGAGGGAAAATCCACATCCTCCTCACTCCCTGCAGGCATCAGAGGGGGGTTAATTCATGTCTTTATTCAGCTTGCTGGCAGGGGCTGGGCTGTGATGCCAGTGTTGGTCAGGTGCCTCACAGGGGTTCTCTGTACTTGTCCTGCTGGAATCTGCATTCCTTGGTCCACCTCGGGGTCACAAAACGGAACAACCCCTCTCTGTTTGTTCTCAAATGCGTGGCAGAGGGGGTGGCTCTGTCTGGAGCCCTGGGAAGGCTCTTTCCACCTGTCCACATAAATGGGGCTGAGGGGATGGAGGGGCTCTGCTGGGGGGTCTGCAAAGCAAAGATTCCAAGGGTTTGGGGCTCCAGGGGCTGGGACAGTGAGGGGCTGGGGAGCCACGAGCAGGTTCTGGAGAGCTGGGTCTCACCTGAGCCTCAGGGAAGGGTTTAACCCAGTTCCCACCACCATCACCCAGTGATTTGTATCCCACCAGGAAAAATCCTGCTGCAGAGTCTGGGCTTTGCTTCCACCGCTCTTTGGGCCAGGCTTGGGCAGTGCCAGAGCCACTCTGGACCTTCCTCTTGAGGAGGAGGAGGTGGAGAGAAGCAGGAGGAGATTCTGCTGTTTGCTTCCCAGGGATGGGAAGAGCCCCCTCAGGTCCATCCTTTCAGGCAGGGTAAAGCACTGGTTATGGCACAGGGCTGACAGAGGGTGGACTTCCCAAAAAAACAACTTAAGTGCAGCCAAATCTGAGCCCTGGAACCTCAAATGTTAACCCGAACGCCTTCTCTTCTTCTCTCCCGTGGTCTCTGAAGCCAGCACTAGCCCTGCCTCGGGCCTGGGCACTGCTGCCATCATTGGCATCCTCGTGGTGGTCTTCGTGGCGCTGCTGGTGGCCGTGGATGTCACCTGCTACTTCCTGAACAAGTGCGGGCTGCTCATGTGCATCGCCGTCAACCTGTGCGGCAAATCCGGCCCCGGGGCCAAGGGCAAGGACATGGAGGAGGGGAAGGCGGCCTTCTCGTGAGTACTGCCCCCAAATGCCTCCCTGTGTGCCCACCTGGCAGGACAGGAGCTGCCTCGGGGAGCGGGGGTCCCTCATCTCCCTGGGGAGGGGCTGGGGTTTGCTTGGGGCCTGCAGGAAGGTTCTGGAGTTGTTCCTCTGGCTTTTTGTCTCGTTCCTGTTGGTAGCCATCAAATAGGTGCTGGACATCCCAGTGCTGGACATCCCAGTACTGGACATCCCAGTGCTGGACATCCTGTGCTGGACATCCCAGTGCTGGACACCCAGTTCTGGACATCCCAGTGCTGGACATCCCAGTGCTGGACATCCCAGTCCTGGACATCCCAGTGCTGGACACCCAGTTCTGGACATCCCAGTGCTGGACATCCCAGTGCTGGACATCCCAGTGCTGGACACCCAGTTCTGGACATCCCAGTGCTGGACACCCAGTTCTGGACATCCCAGTGCTGGACATCCCAGTGCTGGACACCCAGTTCTGGACATCCCAGTGCTGGACATCCCAGTGCTGGACATCCCAGTCATTCCAGTCATCCCAGTGCTGGACACCCCATGCTGGACATGCAGGGAGTGCCTGGAAGGAGCAGTGGCCGCAGGGAGCTGTCCCTGCTCTCCCCGTGGCCGTGTCTCCCCGTGGCCATTTGCAGGCTGTCTTTGCAGGAGGAGCCTTCACTGCCCTTCCCTCGTTACAGGAAGGATGAGTCCAAGGAGCCCATCGTGGAGGTGCGGACGGAGGAGGAGAGGACCCCCAACCACGACGGGGGGAAGCACACGGAGCCCAACGAGACCACCCCGCTGACAGAGCCAGAGTATGTGGCCTTAGGCAGCCCTAGCACAGGGTCACTGCATTGCCCTCAGCTGCCCTAATCCCTCAGGAACACGAGTTAGGGCAGGAAGAGAGGAAGAAAGGTAAAATCTCCACGTGCCAGTGAGGAAGTGCCTCCTCTCAAGCTTCAGTGGTTGCTGCTTCCAGCATTGGAAGGGAAAGGGGAAGGAAGCAGAGGTTCCTGAAGGGCTCTGCCAGTCTGTCCAGTGTGGAGATCCAGCTCTGTCCAGGGGCACTGCGAAGGATCCAGAGCAAAATCGGCCCCAGCTGGCAGCGAGCCCCGTCCCAGCAGTGCTGGGTGAGAGCTGGGAGAGATCCTCCCCAGGAGCTGGGCCCTGCAGGTGGAGTCACGGCCAGGCTGAGCATTCCAGGGGAGACCTGAGCTGAGCTGGGGCCTGAGTCTGCGGTAATGTGATGTGAGAACAGGAACTGGGGTTTGCTGGGGGCTCTGCAGGCCTTCAGACAGACCTGCAGCAGCAGGACAGGACAGGCGAGGGGCTGGATCCAGGGTGCACGATGGCACCGTGCTGTGTTGGTGGCAGGTGGCACAGGGCCACGGGCTCAGGGAGTTGGCAGAGAGCTGCCTGGAGAGGTCAGGACCGAGAGGCTGAGAGGAGAGTTTTAGGTGAGAAGAGTCTCTGCAAGCAGACAGGATCCCTCAGCCCACATGAACGAGCCATTCCTGCAGGTCACGTCCTCTTGGCTTTTTTGCTCTTCCTGATTATCCTGAGCCATCCCAGCCTCGCTCCCTTTGCATGTCTGACCTCTGCAATCTCTGCTCCTGAGTCCCTCTCCATGTCATGTGCGTGTGCTGTCCTCACTCTCCCTCTCTGCCCCTCTCCCCGCTGTCACTTCGGGCCTTCATTGTCTCTCTCTCTCTCTCTTTCCCTCTCTCCCTCTCCCTCTCTCTCTCTCGTCCCCGTGTCCCCTCGCAGGCACCCCGCCGACACCGCGGCCACCGTGGAGGACATGCTGCCTTCTGTCACCACGGGCACCACTAACTCTGACACTATCACTGAAACCTTTGCCACGGCCCAGAACAGCCCCACCAGCGAGACCACCACGCTCACCTCCAGCATTGCCCCTCCGGCCGCGGCCGCTCCCGACGCCAGCGCCGCCGCCCCCGCCCAGGCCACCCCGGCCAAAGGCGCGGCCCCGGCGTCGTCACCGCCGCCCTCCTCCGCCCCCAAAGTGGCCCCTCTTGTTGATCTCAGCGATCCCCCCAGCTCTGCTCCGGCCACCAATAATTTATCTTCAAGTGTCCTGCCGGGGCAGGCCGTGCTCAGCCCCAGCGCCGCCGCGGCCGACGCCGCCAAAGCCGGGAACAAGCCGGCCCCCCCCAGCCCTGCCAACCTCAGCAGCCCTCCGGCTCCCTCGGAGCCCAAGCAGGAGGTGGCCAAGAGCCCCGAGAAGGAGCCTGTGCAGCCCAGCGCCGCCAAGAGCCCGGCAGAGACCCCCAAGAACCCGAGCAGCGTGAAGAGCGAGGCTGCCTCGGGCAGCGCCGCCAACCCCTCGCAGAACGAGGACTTTAAAATGGACGAAGGGACCTTCAAGCCACCAGACATTGACCTTGCAAAGGATGTTTTTGCAGCTCTGGGCACTGCTTCTCCTCCTGCTGCCAGCGGGGCTGGTGGGCAAGCCCCCGAGCCTGCTGCTGCCGCTGCAGACGGCTCTGCCCCCGCAAAGACCGAGTACGGCCAGCTTTACTCTTGTGTTGGTTGTGTGATGTGTCCCTCGTGCCCTGGTGCTCGTGCTGTGTCCTCTGTTGGGTGTTCTCTTGACTGACCTCGCTGTTTCCTTAGCCAGCTACCTCACCCCAGAGCCCACGGGGTGTTGGAAGGTGCCAGGAGGAGAGCAGGAATGGGCTGTGCCAGGGAGGCAGAGGAAAGGAAGCTGGGAGTTTATCAGAAATGTGTTGTTCCTCAGGCTTTTGGGCAGCTTTGTCTATCCTGGGTTATTCTTTGCTAAAGAAGAGCAGAAGTAGTCCAGTTTGGTGTAAAGAGCTTTTGGTGTAAGGAGGTTCTGCAGGTCAGTGAGTCCAAGCCCCCAGATCCCATCTCCCGCAGGCCAGAGCAGCCTCGGGGCTCGCTGGGGGCCAGGCTGGGCACAAGCAGTGCCAGGGTGCCAGCTCTGGAACCTCTGGAGCTGTCCCCAGGCTGGCAGGAGCCTGGCTGAGAGAGGGGGGAGCACCCCAAGTTGGGCAGGAGAGAGAAAACAGCAGCTGGGGGCTGGGGGAGGGTCCCAGCTGTGCTGCAGATGTTGGGCTCTGCCTGGGCTGGCACTTGTCACCTCCCTCACTCTTGTGAAAATGTCTGGGACAGAATTCCTGTCCTCTGTGCTCCCCTTTCTCTGGGATCCTGGGGATTTCAGGCCTGGCTGTCCGTAGGAGCACAAAAAATGGGATTGCTGCTAAATTATCAGGGAGTTGGGTGCTAAAGCCAAATCCTTCTGCAGCTGTGTGAGGTTTCCTTGCTGCTCCTTTTTGTAGCCCTGCAGCTGAGCCCTGAGCAAAGCCAGGGCAGGAAAAGCCGAAAATTGGTTAATCTAGAACCGAATGAGCCAGGGCGGAGGAGCTGAGCTCGGTTTTCCTTATTCCTGCGTCAGGAAATGCTGGTTTTGCTCTCCCAAAGCGAGTTGTTCCCACACAGACTCTAATTCACTCCTCCCCCGTGGCTAACTGAGCCCAGCCCGTGTTTCTGTGCCTCTAAACTCTGTCCCTCTGGTGCTTCTCCCCAGGAAAATGCCAGCAGAGGACAAAGGCGCCGTGCAGGACAGGAAGAGCCCCCCAGCAGAAGTGAAGACGGTGCCCAACGAAGCCACACAAACAAACGAGAACGAGAGCAAAGCATGATCAGCACCGGCAGAGGGGACGGCAGAAACCTTCACCGAGCATTGAAATCACAACCCACACACCCATCTCATTCCTCTAGTGTCTGTTGCCTTTTTTTAAAAAAGAAAAACAAACAAACAAACCAGAAAAATGCATAAACGGGGGGAGGGAGGGAATGTCTCTTTTTTCCTTTTTATATTTTTTTTTTTGTTTGTTTTGTTTTGTTTTTTCTCTTCTTCTCTTTTTTGGTTTTGATTTCTGTTTTTTGGTTTCGTTGAGATTCCTAGACAGGTTCTATTCGTTGTGCACTTGCTTTTAAAAAGTAAAACATGTTAAAAACAGGGTTAAACCCATCACCAAATCAGGGCCCTGCTGGCCCCGTGTATATTCAAACAAACAGACATTGCAATGCTGGTTGCAGTGTGGTTGGGAAACTCAAAATCAAGGTAGTCCTAGACACAAAAAAAACCACAAAAAAAGACAAAAAAAAAAAGAAAAAAAAGAAAAGAGACCCTGTTGTTTCCTTTGTTAGTATAGCAGAGATAACCACTGTGCTGCTGGGCACGGCTGGTGCTTAAAGAACAAAGTCCACAATTTATTTTTATACTTTTCAGTCGAGTTTGAAATATGTAAAGCCTCATAAATAAGTTATAATTTCTGTTCACCTTGTATCTGGTCAGTATGCAAAGTGTCTCGAGCTCTTTGTGACTGAATCCTGCTCGCCACGTTAGACCTTTATTTGGGGTTGATTATTATCTGTTTTTTAGGAAGAATGCCAAAATTGCAGCTTTGGGGGATGTATTTCAATTTGCAGTATTCAGACTCTTACATTTCTTTTTCAATTTTACGTTCAATTTTATTTTCATTTTCTTTTTGTTTTGCCAACTTTGGTTCTTTCCAGTGTTTACAATTGACAGATATTTTTTAAACTTTTGTTGTGTTGAAATGGATGTGTAAAATAGCTGCCTTTTTTTTTTCTTTTTTTTTTTTTTGGGTTTTTTTTGGTTTTTCAGTCAATCCAGTCCTGTAGACACTAGGGTAGCAGCATGCTTGCTTTGCAAAGGGAGACATTTTCAACCATGGATGTTTACAGTAGTCGTTTCCCCTTTTCTCTTTTCTTAATTATTGTTATTATTATTATTATTGTTATTATTATTATTATTATTTCTTACTGGAGTAAGAAGAAAAGCGATGCTGGGGTTTGGTTTGGGGTTTTTTTGGGGGGTGGGGGTGTTCAAACCACTTGCCACCACTCAAGGGCTTTATCCAGCAATCCCCAAACCTGCTTGGGGTGAGGGAATTGCTGGAGAAAATCCTTCTGTGCTTAAATTTAGTTTGAAGTCCCTTGCTGGACCTGGGCCTGACTGCATAAGAGAAATATCATCTCTGCTTTTTTAGGACATTCTCCCCTTTCCTTCACAGAACCCTCCCGGGGCTCTGAGGAGCACAAGGGAGGTTGGACAGTTTGGGCTGGTCTGGGCTCAGGTGTGTGACCAAATCGATCCCTCCTGATTATGGCAGAAAATTCCAGTTGCAGAAAATACCAGTTTCAGCAAATTGTAATTTTAGCAAATTTCCAGTTTTGGAAAATACCAGTTTCAGTAAATACCAACTTCAATAAACACCGATTTCAGGAAAACCTCAATTTCAGAAAATACCAATTTCAATAAATTCCAATTTCAGTCAATTCCAATATCAGTAAGCTCCAGCTTCAGTAAATACCATGTCCTCTGATCCTAAAAGAAAAACAGACCTAAAAGCAAAGATTTTTTTTTTGTATCCCCAAAAGGTGCTGGGCAGATTCCAGACCCTTCCTGCAGGTCCAGCTCCAGCAGGAGATCCTTGGATCCCTCCCGTGGGAGCTCCTGCTCCCCTGGCTGCGAGCTGGGCCCGTGCCCTGCGGGACCCAACCCCTGGAATCAGGAGCAGGGGCTGGAATTCCGTGCCAGGGACATCCCTGGGCATCCTGCAGGGCTGGGCAAGGGCTGAGACCTGGCTTAAATTATGGATTAATGGGATTTAACATCAGGAATCATGGAGCAGCACTGAGATTTGGGGTTGGAGAGCTGATTAATGGGATTTGTTATCAGGAATCATGGAACAACACTGAGATTTGGGGGTGAAAAGGAGCTGTGAGCAGAAGGAAGGCAGAGGAGTGTAGGGAGAGACCAGCCCATTGTATAGAGATGTTCCGACTCTTGGGGTTTTGGGTTTTATTTCCTTTTTTTTTTTTTTTTTTTTAATTTTAATTTTATTTGTCCTTTTCTTTTTTATTTTTTTTTTTTTTAATTCTACTTTAGATCTGCAAGCTTGTGCACTGTGGGTGCGTGACTATTTTAGTGTGAACCGTGTTTTTTGTCATAGTATTGAAATAATAAAAGCTTCAACATAGTTTGGATGTGGAAGGTGTAGCGCTAGTTCAGATTTGAGAAACAGAAAGAAAAAAAATATTCAGGAATTAAAATAATTTAAAAAAAAAGAAAAAAAAAGAAAAAAACAAAAGAAGAAAAACCAGAAAGAGAACAACTCTTACAAAGAGCAGAAGCCTTTAAATGAGAAAAGCAACCCGAGCTGACGCTGGCGTTCCCAGAAGGATGAGGGGGGTGTGGAGGCTGTATCCATGTATTCCTTGGGAATATGCAGTCTGTTCCAGTGGCATCACACCATTTCCAGCTGTGAGAAACAATGGTCTTGTCATTTGCTGAGTGTGGGGTTTCTTGCGTTTTGTTTTCCTCAGCTCCTGGGGTGCGCGGGAGGGCGATGGAGGCGCAGGCTGAGGCTCCCCTGCCCGTCCTGGGTGGCTTTGGGGCAGGACAGGGCCCGATTCCCAGGCCTGGTGTCAAACCCAAACCCGTCCCAGCGGTGTCCCTGAGCCCTGGGGACGTTGGGCTCACGGTGCCGAGGATTCCTTTCTTTTCCCCAAAGAAACGAGTCCATAAACAGCATAAACTGTGGCTGCAGTGCTGGGCAGCAGCGGTGCCGCCGTCCCCTGGGTGACCCCAGTTTGTCCCTTTTGGTCCTGCTGCTTCTGTCACCTGGCTGTGCTGTGAGCCCCAGAGCTGAGCAGCTGGTAGGAAACACATCACCATTCCCAAAACCCCGCCAGGTGGGATCTGGGGCTCTGCCCCACCCGGACAGGTGCGTTTGTCCCAAAAGGTGACGAGCTCAGAGCCCAGTGGCACTTTGGGGCTGGGCTTTAAGGTCCCTTCTGTCCCAGAGCTCTGGTTTGGGGTGGACTCCGAGGGACAAGGACACCCTGAGCACTGCCTGAGCTCCTTTGTGACCCCTCCCCACAGCTGTGCTGGCTCTGCACCGCCCTGAACAGCCAAAAATCGTGATTCCACTTCCAAGTGCCCCGTTCACAGCCAGCTGCAGCCTCACGGCTTTGATGTGTCCCCTCGGGGAGGGACCAACCTGGGGCTGGTGGCACTGCCAGGGCTGCTGTGGGGCTGGTGGCACTGCTGTGGCTCTGTGTGTCCATCCCCAGGGTTGGTGGCACTGCTGTGGCTCTGTGTGTCCATCCCCAGGGTTGGTGGCACTGCTGTGGCTCTGTGTCCATCCCCAGGGTCGGTGGCACTGCTGTGGCTCTGTGTGTCCATCCCCAGGGCTGGTGGCACTGCTGTGGCTCTGTGTCCATCCCTGGGGCTGGTGGCACTGCTGTGGCTCTGTGTGTCCATCCCCAGGGTCGGTGGCACTGCTGTGGCTCTGTGTGTCCATCCCCAGGGTTGGTGGCACTGCTGTGGCTCTGTGTCCATCCCCAGGGTTGGTGGCACTGCTGTGGCTCTGTGTCCATCCCTGGGGCTGGTGGCACTGCTGTGGCTCTGTGTCCATCCCCAGGGTTGGTGGCACTGCTGTGGCTCTGTGTCCATCCCCAGGGTCGGTGGCACTGTCCCGTGCCCGTCCCCAGTGTCACAGGAGCGGTGCCATCTCGTGCTGCGCCATTCGTACCGGTGACAATAGTGCATCCGTCAGCTTCCAGCGTGGCGTTTTCTCTCCACACTTTTCTGTGGAGCCTTCAAACCCCACATTTTTCACCACCAGGCTGTTTTGATAGTTGTTCTCAGCCCCTCCATGGCCATCCTTCCCCAGCATTCCCTACTTTTGGGGGCCTTCTATCTTGTTAAAAAAAGAAAAAAACAAAAAATCTTTTTACCGAGTGAAACATCGACTCCACCTTTATCCCCATTCTCACTGGTGTAAATACTGATACTAACTGAGGATTTTGACTTTGCATTCTGTCAGAATACTGTGTTCAAATAAAAACTAAAAAAAAAAAAAAAAAAAAAGCTGATGCCTGCAGTCTGCCCTTCTTTAGCCTCATCCCAACTGAAAGCACTTTAAAGTTTATTTCTTTGTCCCTCTCTATTTATTTACTTATTTCCTGGAGATAGCAAACACAAAAACGCAGTTTCACAGCTACTGTGGAGCTTTTTTCCCCAAAAAAAGGCACTTTTCTGTTGCCTGGCTTGTGGAAAGTATGACTGGAGTGTTGGATTTAAGAGGTGACCTCTGCCCAGCCTGAACTGGGTGATGGAACTTAATGAGCTTTGAATGTTATTAATTTATTCAATTAATTCATTTAGAAATCTTGATCTTTTTTTCTAAATTCTAGCTAAAAATTGGCCAAATGCCCAACTTTAATTTTTTTACTCTGGGTGTTATGGGGAGGGGAGGGTTGTCTTATCTTCATGATTCTGGCAAAACAGACTTGATTTCCACACCGAAGTTTCCATGTTAAAGTCACTGCCCAAACATTTGATGTAAAAATCACCAACTGCTCTCAAGTGGGGAAGCATCAACTGGCCCAAGCCCCTGGTTGGGGTTGAAGGGGAGGCTCTGGTGTTGCCCTTTGAGGTTTGGGGTTGCCCTTTGTGGGTGCAGAGGTCCCTCAATGCCCACGGTCCCTGTGCCCTGCCTGCTTCCTGCTGCTCCCTTTGGACCTGGAGGAGCTCAGGGCTTCCTCCCTCTTCTCCCAGAGAAGGGAAAAGGGATTTTCCTGCCCCTGGAGCTGGGGCTGTGCTCAGTGGTAAAACCACTGACAGATCCTTTATCAGATCTTGATGTTTCTTCGGCCGTTTTCTCAACCCTCAGACCTTTTAATTTCCATTTAATTTTAATTTTCCCTCGTCTCTCCCTCTGTTAAGGCCATGGCACCTGACTGGCAGTGTCACCTTGGCTGAGTGCGGCTCCTTTTCCCCCGGGCTGAGTTTGGGGTAAGTCTAGAGGGGCTGGGGGGGCTGGAGGGAGATTTTTGTGCTGCCTCTTTCTCTCATCCCTTCTAGAAATCATAATTATCTGGCCTTTTATCAGCTATCAGTGTATGAATATCGTGCATGAGCTTCAGAGCATCATTTCAAGTGCTTTTGGAAGTGCCCAGGGACTAAAGGTGTCTCCCTCCTGCACATTTGCTGCCCCGTGTGGATTTATTGCCCAGGTTTTGTGGGATAACAAACAAACCCCAAACTCCCGAGCATCCCACTGCCCCAGCTATGGCCTCGTGGGTGTTTTTAATGGGACACTGGGCTGGAAAAAGCTTCATTAGAGGGGAAAAAAAACCCTTTGGGATGGAGGCTGGTGCAGGCAGAGCCGATGGCAGTGAGGGGAGGGACGGGAACCTTTTGGCTGAGGGGGAAAAGGGATATCCTGGCTGTCCTACAGCCAAGGGGGTGGAAGGGCTGGGGGATTTTGGCTGCCCGTGGAGCTCAGCACCCCTCTGGCACTCGGGAATTCATCTCCCAGCCGATGGGGTGGGATGTGGAAGCGGAGGCAGATGGATGTGGCCGGGCTGTCGGTTCCCAGTGAGGTGTCCCACTTCACCCCCAGCAGCCCCGGGGTGACCCGTCCTTGTGCTCCCTGCGTGTGGAATGTGCCGCTCCCGGGAACGGCAATCCCTGGAATGGCAATCCCGGGAATGGCAATCCCGGGAA